GCACATCTTTACCTACGTGGAATTCGAGTGTTTGCCCCGATATCAGTAGATTACAAGATGGGCTCGAGTGACTGAATCGTGAAACCCCTTACAAATTGATTGCTTAACGTGCCGGGGAGGCTTGCTAGGTGGTTTCAATATTTGAAATGAGAACTTATAACTTGTACACGTGAGCAAGCAGGAGAGCGGTGAGATCATTTCCCATCCCACTGTAATGAATTGAATCGATTTTTCTCTGGTGACCATAGTCTACCCGGCACCCCAGCTCGAGTTCCCACCGGCGACGTTGGTACCGCGTCTTTTACAGATTTTGGGGGCGCAAGAAGAAATGCATTGTTTTTTAAATGTTGTACAGTCACGATTTGAGAAGGAACAAAACCTTAGCCTCGGTTTACTCAGCAGTGTTGTTAGACTGTATCCTGCTCCCCTTTTCGCCCATCCTAATAAATTAAGTCCGTTTATTTGACGTCATCAGTTTAAAGTAGGAGTATGGTAGATTTATCTAAAAAATCACAAAAGTCGATCAGTTAGCTTGTACTTCTTTTTCGCCAGTGAAACAGTTTGTTATAGCTCTTGTTAAACTATTAAACTTAAATATAATTTATATGTCGTTTAAAAGGAGAAGTTCGTGATTGTTTCGTGTCGCAATAAAGCGAGTTTTAAGGTTGATTAATAACTGTGATTTTGATTTGCTGTATCTAAAGGAAGTTGACGGGAGGCTGTGGGTAAACTGTGAATTTCGTACTAGCAGAACGAAATCAAAACGATCTTGAAAAGACATTTTGATATAGCTTTTTGTTAGAATGTCATAGGTGAAGCTGAAATTGAGCACTATAAAAAATATCCAAATTCGACCAAAATAATTTTATATGTACATTGAAAAACTTAGCGCTAACGTTCGCTTTCTTCAATTTTTAACCAAGTGCGTGCGCAACGCGCAAAGATCAAACCGTATAATAAGAATCACATATAATTGTTTCGATGATAAGAATAAGAAACAACTTATGATAAGTTTAATCAAAATAGGTTGTTATTATCACATCACCTGCAGATCTTTGCAAAAAAAAAAACCTTGTTATTGTTTTTTTTTTTTTTTTTTTTTTTTTTTTTTTTTTTTTTTTTTTTTTT